GTTATTTTACTTTTTCAACTGGTTGCCGCGCAACCTGTAGCGGGTTCAATTCCCACACGAAGCAACTCATTGTGTGCAATCCACAAATTGTTGTTCCGGGTCTGGGTGTTATGTGTGGGGCAACGTTTAAAAAAAAACAATCCATTTTATTTTAAAAATCTAGGGTATTAGTTGTGATTATAATTACTAGGAATTCCAATTAATTTATTTAGTTTTTATCACAATTCATGTATCGTTGCTTATAACTATACCATAATTAAGTTATCCTAAGCCATTGTACGATATCTAATAGGTAGCTAGCTAGACCCATAGTCTCTGTGGAATATAATATATTTATGGATATAATATCATATACTTAGGTAGACAAAACCACTAAAAAATCTTTCATCGTCACATAAGCCACAAGATGTCCACAGCTGATCTAACTCTCCTAATAACTTACAAATCATTTAAACACAATCTATTTAACTCACATTTTCCACCCTAGTTTTTTTCGGAAAACTCGGAACAACTCATTCTCCAACGACACAGGTATAACTCACCTATATGTGTATAGGTATGTATGTATGTGTGTATGTAATAGTTTGTCTGTATCCGCGTGCAGGAGACATATGCCTGACATATCATATTAATGTCTTGTATTCATACTTAATGTCCTTTTTTGATGTGCACGGAATTTTATATGTCACTATATTATAAGGTTACGACATTCTTGTAGGAACTTAGGTTTTTATGTAAGAGGGTGGGTAGAAACTGTAGTGTCAATCAGTAGGATCGATGCCTAATTTTTATTTTAAGTCCGTGGGGTAGATTATTTTAAATCATTAGACACGTAATTTTTATTATCTTATTGAAACGAATACTTTCGACGATATATTGATTTGAAATGTCGCGTGACGTCACTTCTATGTAGGTACATTTTATACGTAGAAATGACGTTTTAGCCGCCACTCCTAAACTTTGATTCGTTTTATCTAAGTATTTTTTTCACGACACGCATTTTTTCATTAACTAACTTACGGATTAATTATATTATTAATTTTCATACCCAGTCATCATCCCTATTGTTGAGTAGGTTGTTTGAGAAAAAAAATCGAAAAATGTTATACATGCTTAGGTACATGTATGGTTGGCACAGTAGCTGGGGTAGGGCTAACTATTTTCATGGTCTAATTACTAAGACTCGTCCAATCCGTCGATCCGTTTAAAATATTATTCTAGAGTAGATATAAATAAGTAAAGAATTCGTGGTTTTGCTTCGAAAAATTAAATTAATGATAATCTCATAATTAGTGCTTCCATTTTAGTACACAGAAGGTTTTGTCCGACGTCAAAAAAGGACATTGCAAATACCACAACGAAACTCTTTTATCTGGCAAGAATTTTTAATCTTTTAAAACGCAAAAAGCGAAGTTTTTAAAAGACAAATTAAATTAAATTCTCTTAAGTCACGTCTCGAGCGACACGTAGATTTTAATCATTATTATTTGAGTTGACAATTTTTTTTTCTCTTTTTAAACATAAAAAGATAAAGTTTTATATTCTTTTTTTTTCGGAATGTCTGCAAAGTTTTTAACAGACCTATAATTATTATGTTGCGAAACTTGGCTCTGTAACTGAATTCCTTTGCCTTTGTGAATGTAAACGAGAATTGTCGATGTCTATGATTGTTGTTCTTTTTGCAATTTGAAACGGCTTTGTACTGGCATTAAGACAATGAAACAGATCAAACAGAATCACTACAGTTTAACATTAGCACAATTATTCCAAAATTGACACAATAGATTAAACTGTCACAATATGACAGCTGTCAAAATTCATAGACAAAATAGCAGCGTGATAAATATGACACTGGCCGCCATGATTGTCAACTCAAAATAAAAGATGGCTCCTCTAAATTTAGCTTAGCCATTTCCTCAGAGCTAGCCGCTGGTATAAAATAAGGGCCATTTTAATCATAAATATGACAATAATATTGTTTTATCTGACTAAATTATAGTATCTATCTCAAAAAGCCCAGTCGGAAACTGACTAACTGTCTACATAAGAATGTTTAATGCCTACGCAGGCGAGTCAAAGGTGGCTCTGAGGTACTTTTGTATGTAAATCGAACGCGTAGGTTTCAGGGCACTTAGGTTCTGTCTAGGCTTTGTACCTGGATTCCAGTTAGGTTTGAAATGTTTTTAGGTTTAGCTAATTAGGTGTTTTTGTTGTTTTGACCGGGTTGTGTTTTGTTTCGATGTTTCGTTTTAGTGTTAATTCGTAGTAAAAATTGTTTGGAATTTTAGGCATTATTTTTTCAGTTGTTGTACAAAAAAATATTTAATACGTCTAGTGGTCTATTTTTCACGTAACTTTCAATGATTATCTTTTTCCATTTTGACGGAATAATGTACCTACTTAAAATTAAAAACTAGGTTTAAAAATCTCACAAGAGCACAAATTAACAAACTATAAATCCGTTCACGATCTAAAAGATACCATCCTTTACCATCGCACATCGGCCGAACTGTGCTAAGGTAAGCGCCTTTCCCTTCCCATTTATTCATAGTGAAATAACAAAAATAGCTATACTGTTAACTGCCAACATAACTAGACCCCTCACTTAATTTACTAGGACACCACAAAAAGGCCAACCTCAACTGGCTGGTTCACGCGTAGGTTGTGCAAGTTCTATACGTTGAAAAATGGCGGTGAAGCCACAATAGTCTATGGAACAGCGAACCCGGAAGACATATTGACCATAGACAAGATTAATCTTAGGTTTGCTTGGTTTTTTCTTGCGTTCGGAAATATATTGCGGTTAATATGACATTTATGATGTTGTCCACAGATTACATATGGGCTTATGTTTACGGGAATCGTTTATTTTTTAAGTGATTGTAAAATATTTTATGATTAAGGTATGCAGTTTTAGAATTTAGTAGACAGGAAAAAGGTTAGGTAGGTACTCGTACGTTCACTAATTTTAATTACGATAGAACTTGTAATACAAGTAAACTTTAAATTAAATGAACGCCGGTTTCATTAAATAAGATTAACATGATAAACTTTTAAAATCAAAAAATAATTATATCTATTCTCATTTTAACATACCATAATTACGATCCAAATCATCATTCAAATATAATTATTAATGAATATTATTCCACACAAAAATAACATTGACAATAGATAATAAAATTCATTAATTTATTAAAAAAATCACTTGGATACTTCCCTATTATATCAAACAACGCCTATTACCAAAGACAATCCATTTAAAAACACCAATAAACATTTATAGACGTTTGCTATTAGCAAATGAAAAACCATAAAGTACTTTTATTTATTGTCTATTGATGTAATCGTAGAATCATGTCTATGTGTAATAATATTGTAATGTACTTAGATTAATTCTTTATATTGTGCCCTAAGTTATTCTTTGTATTATTTTAATTAGACCTATTGTCCAATAAGACTATATGTGAAATTATTCGTTATTCTCTGTATGACCTTTCGAAATATGACAGTAAAGTTGTTATTTTTAAAAACCAGATTATTTTTACCCAAAAAACTGTAAATCGATGTTTGTTATAATTAGGCATATTATTTTATTTTTTTAATAGTCTAAATTACATATTTTTGATTAATTTTATACAGATTTAACGCAAAATACAAATTTTGATTGCATCATTGATACGTATGGTAGCGCTTAATGAAAGGTCTAGTAATACTCACTCATCTCATAAAAACTAAGAACCTTTATACAGTAATCACCATGACACAACAATCACCACTTAGATTGAATTAACCGTGAAGGATCGGTGATTATTGACTTATGTAGTATGTGGTTTCCGGAATTGTACCCAAGACCTCATTTAGCTAATACAATTGCGTAATATCTTAACAGGTACTTAAGTTAACGTCATAATATTATTAGTAATAGCTGTAATAGTAGGTATGTTATAACGATGATATAGAAAACCATTTCTTATTATCTAAAAAGATTTTGGTAATAATAATATCGCCAACCAAAAATAAATGTGCCAATGATGTAATCAAAAATAATTACTACTCAAATAATTAATTCACAAATAGACAAATGCCTAAAGAATTACATTAACCAATTAATTTCGAACAACCGGCGAGATCTCGCAATCACCAAACACGAACATAAAACAGACAAACCAATATTTAAATCACTTTTATCAGCTAACTAATAAAACATATACACTTATAAAATTTACTGGCAATAAATATGGCGATCGGACCGTTACAACCTACACCAGATACACATACATATCTATCTAGTTGCATCTAGGAAATAATTCTACAATAATCTTAGTCCCTCACGCGTATAATATGCACGCATTCTTCCCAGACATGCAAAATTCACATACACTAACAAAGCCCAGGACTCCATACATACACGCGCCTCTGTGTGGGTAACGCGCCTGTGTGCGTGCGTTCAACGACCTATGCATTTGCTTGCAGTACAGGCTAAAAGTATGCGTTCGTTTTATTATGGTCTTATTTTAAAAATGGAACGCCACGTTCGGTTTCTTTCGCGTTGGGTTAGGTCGTGGTCGTGATTTTTCGGCTTTTTAACAAACGTGCAACGGCTGGCTGAGATTGTTTCGAATTTCGAACTGGTTTGCGGTTCCGTTGTGTAAGATTACCGTTAGTGTTCGATTTTCGAACGTCGATTGTTCTAATTTTGATGTTTGGTTTAGCTTTAATAGGAGCATATGGTTCGGATCTTAAAGATTGAATCTTAAAAACATTCTTGTTAATTATTAGGGTCAAATGCATTGTGTTGCGTTCATTCTCTCTCAGTTTATTGTGCTCTATAAATGAACTCTTAACACACGCGAAAGAATTGCAAGAAATTACGAGACTTTTGCTCATGAATCAGTTTTATCTTTAGACCAGACAGCACTGAACTTTATAATACCTATCTTTTAAAGCATTTGATAGGCCAAAGTACAACACCATCTTAAATCTAGCCTTCTTTACAGGGGAACGCCCATACAAATGCCATCTCCCTGACTGTGGCCGAGCCTTTATCCAACTTTCAAACCTTCAACAACATCTACGGAATCATGACGCTCAAGTGGAAAGGGCCAAAAATAGACCTTTTCATTGCAATATTTGTGGGAAAGGTTTTGCCACTGAAAGCAGTTTGAGAACCCACACGGCAAAGGTCAGTATCTAAAATAATTATTTTTTTAATTAATTATCCGATGTCAATTTAATTATTAATTTGAAATTCATTTTTTGAATCTTATTATTCAGACTTTTATCTCTCATTAATTAATTTTTATAAAAATTGTTTTTTGATAATCTTTGAATGTAATTTGTTGTTCTGAATAGATGTCGATTGATCAAATAATTTTGTTCTATTTCAATAACAATTTATTTGTAAAATTGTCTATATGATAATGATTTTGGCAATTGTGTTTACATCGTTTTTCTTTTGATTTTATCGAATTTTTAAGTTCCCAAAAACCAACGGAACTTATTTTTATTTTTTACAATAATTTAAGCATTTTATAATAAGTTTCCAAATTAACAACAAGAAATCAATTGGCAATTTTAACATTTATTTGCTTAATATCAAAATTGACTGTTTGGCTGATTTTTCTTTCAAAATTCCCTCTCGACTGTATATTTATTTTGTGTGTTTTATTACGAATGTGTGCTAATCTTTGAACTGCTATGCCCGCATCGCCACCGCCGGTGGAACAGGAGCTTCAGCTGCACCTTGGTGTTTTGCAGCAACACGCGGCACTCATGATAGGTGGCGCTACAGCCACTCCGTGCCCAATATGCCACAAAGTAGTATTCGGTGGCGAAGCTCTCGTAGAACATATGAAGAACACACACAAGGACCCAAATGCATCCGGCGTTGCGAGTAAGTTTCACAGCGTTCGACTTTTCAAATATTCGAAGGATTGGTTGGTTTGAAAAAAGAACTCCAGATGACAAGTTAACGTCGAAGAAGTTCCTTTTTTGAATTCTTTCGAAAATTGAATGTTGATAACGACGCTCTATTCCGTTTTGGAAATGGAACGTCTTTGACATTCTTTTTTCAATTTGTTTGGGTTTTAGTTTGTAATTTAGATCGTAAGATCTCTTCTATTGTTGAACGTATTTTTAATTAATAATTTATTAATGAATAACTTTATTTTAAACAATGGCACGTATAAAATCATTTTATTCAAATAATTATATGAACGTAACGTAACTGATATAGTACGTTACAATAGAAGAGATTATAGTATGTAAGCTATGCCACTGGAAGTTTGTAACTGGTCATCGTAACATAGCGATAAGTAGCACTTATCTAACATTATGTTATAAAAGCTTCCAGCTGGCACAAAGCCATGAGGGGTGTTGGTTTCAATATCAACGGTAAAACAAAAACGTATCGTATCCATAAATCTTAATCGTTAACTTAATAAATAAGCGCTGAACGCGATCCGGGGACTGAATGTTATTGTTTTAGCATCATTCTGAGGGTAGTGTGTTTTGCAAACATTTCTTGCTTGTCACTGGAATTACAAATTCTTCGGATGGCGTTCAGTCTGTATTATCATAACATGTTTTGTTTATGTATCTAATGGCAGCGTTTTCCTCGTTTTCTATCGTCAATTCCGTTTCGTTGGCATCCAATGTTCAGTTAATTGGTTTCTGTTTTGGTTCTACTTATTGATTTATTTAAGCTCCATTTATTTTCGCGTTTTGATTTCGTTTAATCGAATCTAAGTGTTTGGACGGCATTTTGTTGGTTCAAAAGCCTTTATTCGACTGTTATAAATGAAAACAGATAATTAATACTCAATAACTGTTATTGAATAACTAGGCAACCGACAAGGTGTCGTCTTCAAAGAAGAAATGGAACTAACAATGGGACTAACCTTGTTTTTTTTTCTTTTTTCCTTCCCCCCTAACCCACTAACCTACCTAATCCTGGTGACTAGGCCCACCGGCTACGTCACCGTACCCAGCGCAAGCTAAACCTGTTGATCCTTACATAGCGAAGCGACGGACTGCGAACCACCCCTGCCCAGTCTGCGGCAAGCACTACGTGAACGAGGGTTCCCTGCGGAAGCACCTGGCTTGCCACCCAGAAACCCAACTGACCAGTGGACTCAGAATGTGGCCTTGCTCTGTTTGTCAGGCTGTGTTTACGCATGAAAGTGGTAAGTGATCTTGTAAACCTAAATACAAGTCAAGGAAAGAGTTTGAGAGGACATTTCAAGCGCAAAGAAACTTCAATCTTAATTTTGTATCAATTAAGTTGTATTTGAAAAAAATCACAAGATGCAGATACTGAGATACAACAACAAGCACTGTTCCTAAGTACTTGATTAATTATCCTCAAGTTATCTGACTGCATATTTGTCTAATATTGACTCGCGACCGTATCAGTCAAATATGCAAACACCAAGTCGATAACAACTAGACTATAGTTGTTAAAACTAGACAAAGAGATAAATCACAACACGGAATGGTGCATAAAATATTTTTGAACCGGAATCGAATCTCGTTCCCGAAGGACATTTATCATAGATGCCGTGAAGCCGCAGGCAAAATCTAGTTATGAATTGGACAACTAACAATGTGTTTTAGATTTGATTCTTCTTTGAAATAATAATAATAAATTGTAATTGTCAAACTGCCTCGTTAACCGAGTGGTCGCAAGTGCGACTGCCGGGCAAGCGGTCTCGGGTTCGATTCTCGGGTTGGGCTGGGTTTTTACAAAATTCTCAGTGGTAGCACGGAGTATGGAATTTTGCCCGGTATATGGCTCACCGCCTATTACATTGGACTCATAACATAAATAGTGAAGTTACATAGTACAATGGCATAATAAGGTGTTCGGGATAAAAGGCGTGATGTTATGTTATGTTTATATTATGTAATTGTCAAATTCTGTATTAGATCTGCTGTTAGACTTAAATGAAAATGGATAATTTTTAAGGATCATTGCTCATGTGCGTTTTGACTTTCCAGGCCTCCTCTCCCACATGGAACATATGAGAATGGAACCGAAACATCAGTTCGCTGCCCAATACGTACTATCTAGGGCAGCAGCCGAGAGACGAGAGAGGGACATCATCGCCGCCGTCTCGGCATCAGCTGGAGGATCAGGCCTCTTGAACCTCGCCCCTCCCTCTCCAGCTCACTCAGACTCATCCTCGAATGGACGACTGTCATCCTCTGCCGGTTCAGAAGCAGGGGCTGCAGTCAACAAACTCACGGACCTTCTAAGATCAGCCAATAATGGACACCAAGCATACGGAGACGAAAGAGTCGCAGCCATAGCCGCGGCCGCCGCCAACATGATGGCGCAGCCTGGCGAGGGTGCTAGTGCCGTGCAGGTAGCTGCTGCCAACCTGGTATCCGCGATGAGGCAGCAATTGGCCAGAGAACCACCACCAGCTCAACCTCCTGCAGAAACACCGCCAGCACCTTCAGAAGCCGCATTGAGAATTCAGCAAGCAGAGGCCTTACTACGAAGTCAGGCTGAAGCGCTTCGACTTGCCGTCTCCCAAGCAGCTGCAGCACACGGTAACGATGCTGCAAGTCCTTTAAGACACAACGGAGGCTTCCCTCCACAACCACCGAATGATGCTAGTGGACAAATTTCACCAGAATTAGTAGAAGCGTTTAGAATTGCACAAGAGCAGCGGTTAGAGCAGGCGCTGAGATTGCATGATCCCAGAATGCTAGGGTTTAACTTGCCATCACCAGTGCAGCAGGCAGCGCAACAGGCGGCGCAGCAAGCAGCCCAACAGGCAGTGGCCGCACAGCAGGCCGCCGCTCAGCAAGCTGCCCAGCAGGCTGCCCAGCAAGTGGCCCAGCAGGCTGCCCAGGCCGCCCAGCAGGCCGCGCAGCAAGCCGCGCAGCAGGCCGCACAACAGGCCGTCCAGCAACAGCACATGCAGGCCGCGCAAGCAGCACAGGCTGCTCAGGCTGCCCAACAAGCTGCCCAGCAAGCTGTCCACTTACAGCAAAATCCTCAGCCATGAAAATTCAGCTATTACTAATCCGATGCGATTTCGCCGCAATAGATGTAATTTAGCACGTAAATCTTAGGGGAATTATAAAGGGTGACTTTTGTATTTTTTGGACGATCAAAGTTTTTAGGCCGGAATTTGAACGAAATCGCCTCTGATTGGTAATTGTTGACAATTGTTATTTTACCGAGTTAGTTTTGGACTCTAAAGTGTTTTACGTTTTAATTTTAGCCGGCAAAAGTATACAATTATGAAAAAAAAACATATAATTATAAAGTAATAACATTAATTTAGATAGAACTAACTGTTGTAAATAGGGAAACGTTTAGCGGAAACAAATTTTACTGTATATAATATAAAAAAAATAAAAAGTACCTAAAATAGTTGAATGAATGAACAAAAAAAAATATGGAACAAAAACTCGCCCGAACAAGTAATTAGATGTAGACTTACGACAAATAATATTACAGTGCAATCTTCTATTATTTGTTTCGTTATTATTGAGTGTTTTTATTAGACGTATGTTATATTATATTTATTTTTATTAGCTTTACCACCAGAGCAGTGAATTTCTTAGCTTAGTACAAACTTTTGAATGTGCCAAACAGGTTTATGCACGTTTTGTCGCATTTAGCGATGGTTTATTGCAATATAATTAGTTGCATTATGTTTCCATAGGATATTTTATTAATATTATTATTCAATTTTAATAATTATTTATATTAATTCTTTTCACGCAATAACACGTCTTATGCTAGTCACGTTTTGAACGCACAAAATAATTCTATTTAACAAAAATAAATTTTATTTAACTTTTTTTATTTTCATTTCAAAATTTTCTTATTTCTTGGCGTATTTTATTTTTAAATGCCATATTAGATTATAATTGTGTACATACCGTAGCACTTTACGTAAATGTTGAAGCTTATGTTTTTTATAACTTTAAAAAATTAATAACATTTTATTTTAACATTCATATTGATTATTTTAACTGGAAAATAATTATTTACAAAATGATTTGTATAGTTGTATATATATATATAAATATTGATTATTTTTTCAGAAGACTGCCGTTACTTACTTTTGTATGTAAATAAAACAAAATGGAATTGTAATTGATAAAAAAATAGCGATTTTTCACTGAACTTACAATTTAACAGGACAATTATTCATAATTGGACTAAACGTCGAAGTAAAATGAACAATAAGATCTAATAATAGCTTTCGACGACAATTACTTTGAGTAGACGATACAAAACACAAGACATTCTTTTCATCACGGATGTTCACACACAGCCCAAATAATTACATTTTTATTTTTATTTTCAAACAAGCATAATTAAACAGCAATAGCCCAGAAATCATTTCAAATGATTAATAATTGCGCTCAGCAATTATAAAATCATTAAACAATAAACATAAATAAATAAATAATGCATACAGTTGCCGCAATAGATTTATAGTTCATGGTTACAAAAGATCTCCCATTTTTTCCGATTAAATAAATCTGGAGGATTTGTTGTAACGTCAAATTTAAGGGAATGTCAAGTGTTGCCGAATATTCTTTTTAATATTATCAACATGTATTATAATAAGACATAATTTATATGAACTAAATAAAATAAACTTTATGTCGTTCATATAAATTGTATTATACGTATAATCGTAACATAGGTAAGGTAAAAATAAGCTGATTTTAATGTACGTAATTATTTCATTCTTGAATTAATATTGGTATATGCGTACGGTGATTTGCGCTCCATCGAAAGTGATGTCACTGCTGCGATATATCAATGTAAATAGGAAAAAAAATCATTGCAATAGCCCAAAAAATCATTTTTTATTTCATTATCGTGTTTTTAATTTCATGGATGAAAGATGGTTTAATTTCAAATTTTATTTTCTTATTCTTAATTTCATTTATGAAATACAAAACTTTTCGGCGAAGATTTATTAATTATTTTGGTATGGACAGGCAAGTTACACCGAGACGCGAATGGTTACCCGGTACCGAATAGATACATATGTTTTCTAGGAAACGTGAGCAAAAATTCAACCTATATTGGACGTGAAAACAATTTTGACTGATAACAAACCAAAAATATGGAAAATCGCAATAAATTCCAAGTGAACGGATCGCTATTTATGTAAAAAATGTCCTCATAAATTTAATATATAAATAAATTAATATAACAACAAAAGAAGTTCCTATGAATATTGTATAAAAGGTATTGTTTTAAATTTAGGTCTTAGTAGAAGGAAAAATTTATGAACGTTTGGTATTTTTAAAGTTATTATTAATGTACCATCATGTTAGGGAACTTAACTCGGAGGAGACCGAGTTGTACAAAAAATAAAACAAAGCACGGATCGTGAATCCTAACATTAGATTTTTAGACCAGAAGTTACGTTTCCAAGAAAGTGTTCATGACGCAACGTGGTCCACATTTTTGGGCGGCGAATTTGTAAATTTATTGTAAAAAAAATATATTCAAGTCGTATTTTCGAGACCGTAAAATTTAATATGATAAGAATGTTTGATTAAGGGTACGAAAATAAATAATGAAGAAATTAGTGTTTAGGTCGACGCCGCACAAGAATGTGGACGCAAACGTTTTTTCTGTGATCATCGAAAAGGAATAGTTATAACAGATCGTGTCTGCGAATTGTCAGAGGTTACTTTAAGTTTTCGACGGTGAATTTTTTTAATGTTAAACGGAAAGAAACTGGAAAATGTTTTTCTACATTTTATTTTACGACAAAAATTCCGTAGTTAAGCAGTGTACATTAAATATAAAGCCTAATTAACAGTGGAGGCGATGTACTGGATCGCCGATACAAAGTCAAATAATATTACATATGATATCATTTGTAATATTATTGGCTGTTTTTTAGTATCAATAGTATTGGATTCAGTTAATGTCTTTTCAAGTGTGGAGATTAGTCTGCATGACTCAATTTTTAGATGCGCTGTCAGTTTTATCATGGATACGACGTTCCGTAATGTTGTAGTTTAATTGGCTATTATTAATAATTAAAGTTTTTTGTTATTCACATGTTTTGTTGATAGAAAAATTCGTTGAGAAACGTTTTGAACTGTCACTTGAGCTCGATGAAGATTAACATCGATATGAGGCGTGATTACGAGTTAGTTGTTCGTTTAAAGTAATCGAAACGAGACGGCGTTTTGTGCTCTGATTGGTTGGTTCATTAGATCCGGCCAATCAGATTGCCGAACGCGAACTCGTGTCGAATACTTTAAACGAAAAAGAAATTCGTACTAAGGCCTCTGGTCTGTTATCGAGCCAAAGAGAGTGACTGAATTATCCTATTTACAGTTGTTTTGCAACTGAACATCGAATCGCAAACTTTAACTAGCGATTACATTACATTTTTTATTTCAAAGTTAATGGTAAAATGTTATTCGTTGCTTTACTTGGGAAATATATTTCGACATGTGTTAAATAAAACATTATAAAATGTAAAAGGTTTCGATTAATGTAATTTTAATAAAATACTGTTTTGGTTTGGGCTAATTCAAAAGTAGATAATAAAAAGATGGAGGGTAAAAAAATTGTTATTCAAAATTGTATAAATAAAAAATTGTTATTCAAATTTAAAAATCGATTCCATGTAAAGCAATTGACAATATTTTACTAAAATTGTTAAGTTTTTAAAACAATGAATTGCTGTTGATTTGAATTATACATCCTTATTGACTGTTAAGACTATTTTCATTTGTCGCTTGTTCGTTTACGTAATTCGTAACTTTTTATTGTTTTATGACATATTTAGCTAAATATACATCAGTAATCATAATTTAGTGTAGTCAGGATAGCCAAGTTTTCAATTTAACTCACATAGTAGACCTATAATCTTAATATATTGTAAGTTAGTAATTAATGTAATGTAATGCCCATAAGCGATTCATGAATAAATGTTCTTGAATATTTATTCATGAATAGTTATTCATATAATATAACATGAGCACTAAACTGCGTATTTTATATTATACAATACAGTAGTAAACAACGAATAAAAAAAACAAATAAATACAAAAAAAAGTATATATCAGTGTACTTAAATGTAATAGTTAATGGAATTAATTATTGGTGTTTTTAAACGGGATTTATTCCATCCCGTTCTCACGTCGTATCCATTTATATTAATAATTTTAAGGGAAAAATGTGCAATCATCAATTTATTAACGAATTTTACAAAAATAAAACTTCAATAATTTTAATATGGAAATCAATTTTACTAAAATATTTGAATAAATTTAAATTAAAAATGTGTTATTACTGTTTTGGTCAATTTTGTTGAACTAAAAAAAAAACTACTCTGACAGCGCATTATTTTTTGTCTATTTTATTGTACTGCCTAGCCTCTGTAATGTCACATAGGGCATTTACGTTGTTACAACGTTTTGTTAAATCGTTAATTTCTCTGTTTACCCAAAACGAAAATCCAATTGGTGTAATTCTAGTCTTATCTTTATTATCTTTTAAAAATGTCGTGATTGATCAAAAATCGTTATACCCACTACACTTTTGGAAACAGTATCTAAATTTGTAAAAAGAATTGAACATGGAAACTTTGTAAAAATTTAAATTTAAAACGTAATAATAATATTGTAACTACCTACAATATATTTCGGCGTAAAAATTGTAAAAATTCAAAATGTTTAGACGTTAGAATAAAAATTTTACGGGTTAGGTAGAAGTCAAAATTCGTGTTTGGCATGCTGTATTTAAAATTAAAAAAAGTAAAAATTAAAACAAAATTGTAAATAAATTTTAGAAATGTGATGTGACGATATTACTGTACCTAATCGATGTTTAGGCGAATAAACATACATACATACATGTTGAATATTTCTTATTAAATCTCTTAAGTAACGAGTGTTCACGACAGAGAATTTTTTTTTGTTTAATTATTTTGTAATTTTTATTTTTATTCATATTTTTTCGTGTATAGAGTTGTACCCTATAATTTTAAGTTTAATTATTATTAAAAAATATTAATATAAAACGATGCCATGTTTTTAAGTAATTATTTTAGATTTACTCGATGTGTTTATTAAATATTATTATATTTTTTATAAAAGTTATTATTTTTTTTGTACTCAATATTAAATTTAGTCAAAATAAGAACTGCTATGTAATTTATAGTTAGGTTCAGTGTTGTTATGTTAAGCAATATTTTTTTAAGTTATTACATTTTATTGAACAAATTTAATTAACCCATTAATTTTATTGTGAAAAAATTGTTTAATTTTAACAACGGAAAATGCTTATTGTGTCATTAAATTGAGTATAGTGACTATTATTGCCGAAACGGTTAGCTATAATTATTTTAAAAAAATAAAAAGGATGATTCATACGTGCGTTTTTCTTTAAAATCCCTTTAAATAATTATGAGAAATCTCACAATAATCTCGCAATTAAATACTTAGTAAATACAGAATTCTATTAACTCTATAGCATCACATTTATTTTTAAATTTAGTGCATTTTTAGCAATTATTTTTGGACTTCGAAATTAAAGCGTCAGTCAGAACTTTACTTCAGAAAAACAAACATAAATAAGAGCGCCATCTCTTAACGAGTAGCAAAACTAAAACAGACAAGTATTCTGATTAGATCAAATTTCTAGTTAGAAAATTTGATAAGTATATTTTCCTATAAGAATAAATTGATATAATTCCTAAAAGAATCTTTTATATTAG